TGAGGGCTGCTAGGAAGAGGTGCCCTAGACAGTGCTGTCCCCAAGGGCTCTGGGGGGACCCCGAAAATAAGGACCTGATTGGTAAGGTCACTGTGCCTTGGAGAGAATGATAAGGCTGAGTAGCGCCCCAAATTCCAGGCAGAAGTAAGGTCTGAAAGCGTGGGGAGGGAATGCGAACTTCCCCAGGAGGAAAGAACCAGCTCCCAGGCCAGTACCTTCACCACCGGCTCCTGAGACAGAAGCTATCAACTATAGTTCTTTATGTAGGAATATATACATTTATCACATATGAACACACAGCAGGGAGGAAGGCCCTGGCGTTTATCAAGCCACCAGCTGAAAAGTAAAGCTAGCTGTCAGCCAGTTTCTTTGGATTTAATAAATCCCAAAGGCCCTGCCGCACTTTACAGTTTACAAAGCTCTTTCGTATCATTTGAGCCTCACGTAGACAATTTTGGTGACCTGAGCCACATATCCGCAGCTCAGCTCTGGGCAGTTCCATGTGTCCACGGCATGTCTCCCCACTTTTCTTCTTAAGAACTTTTTCTGAACCTGTAGACCCACTGCGCCTGCACACGCAGGTGCAGGCTGGACGTACCGGGAAGTCAACGCCTCAAGGAGTGTGGCAGGTCATATTTTCCCAAACTGGCTGCAACAATATCCCCCACTCCCCCGCTGTTTTAACAACCTGACTCTGACACTGCTCCCATGGAGAGGTGCGTCTGTGTCCCCTCCCCTTGAATCTGGGAAGGCTTGAGACCACAGTGGAAGTGATGCTATGTAGCTTCTGAGGCCAGGTCCGAAGGCAGTACAGCTCCCGTCGGGCTCTCTAGGGATGCATGCACTTAGAATCGAGCGACCATACTGTGAGGAAGCCTCACCAGCCCACAAGGAGAGACACCACACACACAGGCCGCTTGGGGGTGTTTGGGCCAACAGTCCAACAGAGGCCAGGCAACAGCCAGCCTCAACAGGCAGACGTGAGTGAGAGAGTCTCCAGACAATTCCAGCCCCCAGGGGTCGAGTCATCACCAGCCTACAAGTCTTCCCAGCGGAGTCTCAGACATTGTGGAGCAGAGACCAACCATTGTTGCAGTGCCCTTTCCAAACTCCCCATCCACGGAATCACCAACATAATACAGTGGTGGTTGTTCTAACCACTGAGTTCAGGTGGTTTTTCACACAGGAATAGAAACTGGAACAGGGAGCCAACAACGAAGGACAGCAGCCTTTGGATGAATGCTCCAACCTCCTGTTCTCTGGACAGATAATTCTGGGAGGCTGTGCGGAAGCTTTGCAGAGGTCCCGTGGGGACAAGACCCGTCAACTAAAGCATCTACCTTGATTCCACTCCCTTGGATTTCCTCCCTGCTTGTAGCACTCTCCCTCCTCCCTCACCCTGCTTCTTGGGATCACCTCCCAAACAAACTGTCTGCATGCAAGCCCTGGTCTCTGAGGAGCCCAGCTACAACTAGCCTCATGTCCGCCCTGCAGATCAAGTGTTTTGTTCCCAACCCCATTTTGCAGATGAGGAGACTGAGGCATGGAGAGGGGAAGTGACTTGCTCAAGGCCACACAGAGAGTAAGAAGCAGGATCATGATAAGGACCCAGGCCTTCTGGCTCTGAATCTAGCTAAAGAACTATGGCTGAGGGCAAGCAGGGAAGGGAAACCCTCAGAAGCTTTGCAAAGATTGCTCTCAGAGGCATGGTGGTTGGAAGGGTGTCTTGTAATTTACTGTCAAGTGAACCCTTGGTTGCACTTACAATATCAGATGAAAAACAAGATGGCAGAGCTATGGACCGCCAGACAGAGACCAAGCCCAGGGAGCCCCGCGCATCTTTCCAATCCCAGGCCAGGAGGGCTTCACAGATTCATTTCTACTCTCCATCATCTGATTTAAAAAGCATCTCTTTTTACAGCATTAAATAGATTGTTTACAAGTAAATTGAAATTTGACAGTTTAAAACTTGCTTCAAAGGTCAGTGTGAAGATGTCCTTTTGACAAATTTCTAGGAAATCTGTTTATAAAAGACCTAACTATATGTCAGGCACTGTTCTAAGCACATTAATCTATTAGGAATCATTCTCATTTACAAATGAGGAAACGAAGGCACCGAGAAATTAAGTGACTTGCCCAAGGTCTCACAGCTTGTAAATGGCAGAGTAACTAGTAAAATCTGTGAATGATAAAAGACTTACTTGTTTGGTCAGCCTCTGAGAGATTGAGCTGGAAGCAAACGTCATAGAACCACAGAACATTAAGTAGGAAGGGGTCAGGGGCACAAACTCGAATGCCCGCAAGGTATGAAGTGGGCACAGGGCTAGACAGCTGATGTGGACCAAGAGAACCAGCTCCCTGGACCTGTCAGTTTGCAACCCTAACAAGCCCAACATCTTCACTCTACAGATGAGGAACTGAGGCCCAGAGAGGAGGGGACTTGTTAAGGTAGCACAGCTCCCGAGAGGCCAGGAATAGATCCAAGACTCTCCTCTCTGCACTCTGCATCTGCAGCAGAATGCAGACCCCTCTCTGGGGGAGGGGCAGGTGGGAGGAGTTTTAGAGTCAAAGCTCTGAGGCAGGTCCTAGGCGGAGGGCTTCCGGCTACAGGGTTCTGGGAGTTAGGATTGACTGAGATAGAACTAGAGGCTGCCCCTGCAGGTTTGGTTGAAACATGTAACCAGGAAATGCAGTGTACCCCTGAGCCAAGAGGCATGTCCTTTCATCAGACTTCAGTGCACTGCTGAACTGCCTGTTGTCATTCCAGAAGGCTGTCCCCTCGCTCAGGGATTTTCCAGAAGTGTGGGCAGACTGAGATGTAACCTTTTCCCCAGGTCTCCCTTGCCTTCGCCCTCTTCTGGCCACTCTTAGCATCAGCATAGCCCAGGGAGAGGCCAAGCGGTTGGAGGATCAAGGATAGCTGTGGAGGATGCAGGGAGCTGGCGGAAGCCGACATGCAGGATCCTCTGCTCTCCAGCCCTGCCTGCCCATCCCATTCTGTCTGCAAAGAGTCACAGAAGACACATTCCCTGGTCATCCAGCATTTTCTCCAAAGTTACTGGAGAAAAATGAGGCCCCAACAGGCAAACCTGTCGCAGGGTTATTCCACAAGGCTGAGACTGGGAGCTGGGGAGCTCTCCTATTCAGACCTATGTCTCTTTCACCTGGATCTGCAGCACCCAGACCAGCACCCAGCAAACCGGAGGTGCTCAGTACATTCCTGAACAAATTGATCGCTTCCCTGGTCCAGGCCCCAGCTGTCCACACTGCCTCCCAGAGTCCCCAGCTCACATCAGTAGAGTCCAGGGTCTGACAGGTGCAGGTGATGGTCGAGCCACCCTCTTTCTTCAGCCTCCATCCTATTTTTGCAGCCTCCATGTCCCCCTTTTCAGGGCAAGGCCACCATTCCAACAGGGCTCCAGAGACTCTCCTCCCAGTCACGAGCCGGGTCCCGTGAGGTACCTCAGTCAGGGCACACAACCTGCTCACCTTCTCTCAAATTACCCAGGAACCAACTCTTCTGCCCACCTTCCTAACTCAGAAGTCCCCCACAAGGTAAGCAATAGGTGAGTATTTTGGAGGAATCTTTCTGCAGGGTAAGACCAAGCTCCTGGTTTGACCTCCGACCTTCACAAGATTCTCAGGTCTCACAACCTCTAGCTCCGCCCACCTCCTAGTAACCGGGCCTTCCCCAGACTTCCCCCACTTCTCACCTGCCCAGCTCCCAGCCTAGAACACAGCCCCTGCAGTAACAATACCTTTACAGTGCCATCATCATTATTCCATTTGCAGAGCATTTGCTCATAAATCATCTGAGTCCTCCTAAAATTACTGGCCCCAATTTAAAGATGAGGAAACTGAGGCTACTAGAGGTCTCCAGGGCGTGAAGGAATGGGGCCACTGGTCCATGGCACTCCCACAGACCTGGCCAGCACAGCACCTGGAAGCAGCAGCCTGCCCTTCTGCGGATGGAGGCTGCGCTCTGCCTCCTGTTTCCTCACCCCTGCGGGCCGCCAAGCGAAGAGACCGGACTATGCCTAGGGATTAAACACCACTACCCGCAGGCCCCCGGCCACTGGCCAGGAGCGGCTCAGCAGGCCTCCGAGACCATCCTCTCCCGGGAGCGTGAGCACCGACTGTCCCAGCTGGGACCTGCCCCAGACCCATCAACTCTCTTTGGAACATGTGCTTGAGCCCTTCTGGGGCTGACGCCTCAACTACTCTGGCTCGGAATCCGCTCCTCTCAGGACACAGGAGCCGCTTCGTGGCTCGTGGGAAGAGGGAGCTGCCGCGCCCGGCCGCGATTTGCGCCAGAAAGACTCGCGCGTCCCGGGGCGCCGCTTCCTGGCGGGATTAGAGCACCTGCCGGCTTCCATCTCCGCCCGCCCAGGGCGACCCCCAGGCCGGGACCACGCTGAGGGGGCTACAGGGAAGTTTGCGGCAACGTGAACCATGCACATTCTCCCTCAGCTACCCCTTTCCTTTTGCCTGCTGTGAAGCTTTTCGGTTTTTTAAATTCTCTTCCCAAGAGTAACCGCAAGATCTTGGGAAACTTCGCGGGAAACTTACAAATGCCGTGAAATGGGAGCCAGCGACTCCTTCTGAACCTGGGAACGCCGCGCCCAGCCCCGCTCCTCCGCTCCAGCCCAGGGCGTCCGGCGGTGGCCCGTGCTGACCACCTGGCTGTCAGGCGGCCCGGGCGCCCGCCCCAGCCTCCGAGCGCCCTCTCGGCCTGGGGCACCCGCCCTGATTCGCTCTGGGAGTGCTCCCACGGCCGCCACCCCGTGCGCGCCGCAAACCCGGGACTGGGACGTCCCAGCCGGAGTCGTATTTAAGCAATTCCTCTGGGGCATTGTTTTCCCGGGGAGCCCGGGGGATCTCGGGGGAGGGGAGGGGAGATCCGTCCCACAGACGGCAGCGCAGGCTTGCCCACCACTCATTTGCATTTCAAAGGCAAACTTCTGCCGGACTCCCCTGGCGGCAGCGGCGGCGGCACCTACCGGCTTTGCACGGGTCGTGGTAATGCTCCAGCTGCTGCTCCGCGCCCTCCTCGAATTCCAGCGCCGAGTAGTCCGAGGCGGCGTCCGAACCCTCCCCGAGCCCCCCGGCGTCGCGGGGCAGCGGCAGCAGCAGCAGCAGGGGAGGCAGCAGCAGTGGCACAAGGGGGCCGAGCGCAGTCGCCTGGGGCATGGTTGCGAGGGGCCGGGGGAGACCGAGGGAGTTGCGCGCACGGAAAGCTCGGCTGAGGCGAGGGACCGTGCCCAGGGTCGGGTCGGCGGCGGCCCGGGCGCGGCAATTACGCGCGGCTGCCCGGCATGGCTCGGGCGCGGAGCGAGCAGAGCGCGGCGCCCTCGTCCGCGTCGGGGTGCCCAGGAAGCCGCCGCTCGGAGCTACTTGCCTGGAGGCTGAGGCTGCGGCGGCTGCGACTGTGGTGGTGGTGGCGGTGGTTGGAGCAGTGGCCGCTCCGCCCCTCTCCACCCGGGCTGGACCACACAGCCCTCGCCAGGGGCCCCGGGCAGCCAATCACTCGGGCGCCCGAGGCGAGGCCCCGCCTCTTCCCGGCACCTCCGCAACTTCGGAGGAAGGGGAGCGAGGTGAAGATGCTGAAGGCAAGGACCCGGGTCCCGTGGCGCTCCCACCGAGCCGAGGGCGCCCTTCTCCGGGCACCACCTCGGCCTTGGGTCCTGGAGAACGCTACTTCTGAAGATCAAGGCTGGACTTCCCGCCTTGTTTTATTCGCATAACTCACTTTACAACTCCCCGATACACACGTGTGCGAAGGCAGGCAGCAGTGGTTAGGGCTCGGAGCGCAGGACCAGTAATCCGATGTAAGCGGTCCGCGGCGCAATCAGCTCGCTACGTGCTTTCGGACAATCGTCCCCTTATAGGAAAGAAGTGAATCTTCTTTCTGGTCGTTTCACCGCAGAAAAAATCGAGGATCACGATTCTTTCAGCTTTCTCAACATCCCCTCATCCAGCCATGAAGGGCGCTTGCTGCAGAGCCCATCTACCCTAACGTAGTGGCTCGTGATGAGTGGCCTGGGGAAGAATGATTTAAAATGACGGATTTCCCCTCTAGGTGACCCTAGCCTTTAGTAAAACAGTCTAAGATGCTGCATACAGGCAAAAAGATTGACAAATGAACAGCTGTACGTGCTATTTGTGTTAAATTACAGACATGTTTTATTAAATAAGCCAGTCACCATTAACTTGATGGAATAAAAATGACCAATTTCTGAAGTCTGGTTACTTTTTGCCAATTAAAAACATATGCCTAAATAATTTAGGAGAATAATCAAGAGATATTTGAAACCCACTCCTATGTTGTACCTTAAATGTAAAAATTTTCAGAACTGAGCCATTTTGATAGACATAAAAAGTACTATTACCATGAGGCTTTTCAAAAACCTTTTTATGCAGGCAAAATTGCCCTAATCAAGAAGTAAAACACACCAATATGTAGAGATTTTCAGCATCACATCCAGTAGAATCCTTTCTCATTTAAAATGCAAGTAGAAAAATGAACTGAACTTCCTTTTTCTACATGGTTTGACAGCCACTGGTGACAAAAGAGTCGATAGGGAGCCCAGAGCGGCTTTACACAGGACTCCAAATTCCTTGCATTAGGATTGTTTGTCTTCACATCTATTAACTAGGATATCAAGTCCTTCAAACCAGTAAAGGTTTAAAAGTTAGCCACTGGAAGGGTGCTACTGGATATTTTGTCTTGGTCCTTAGAAAGAAATGCAAGTTGACCCTGCTTCATGCTGAGTTTTCATCAAATGGGCACATGCAGGATGGAGCCAGATTGGGCAAGAAGATGTGGTTGGGAACTCACAAGTGGGAGGAAGGAATTTAGGGGGAATGGATGCTGCCAAATGGCAGGGAAGGCCAAGTGGCCATTAAACAGGCAATAGGTGTGGGAAGGGGTTGAATGGCATTTCTGCCTGAAGGCCAGGAGTCAAACCCAACGCCATAGTTCTCTGCATTCAATCCAGTGAAGGTCACCACCTGTCAGTAGACAAGTCCACAAAGTCAACATCTAAAAGCCCTAACAAACATCTGTGACACTTCTGGGTCTCCAGATGGCACTAGCTCCAACTGGCTTCCTCAATAGTAGGGAATTCCTCCAGAAAACAAGACATTACTGGCGATCTCTTGAGCAAGCACTGAGGCCGTGAACTTTTACTGCCTCTAATCCCCACCTGGTGAGTACCTGCCAGGTCTTCTCGCCGACACTCTTTATCCAAATATTTTCAAGACAGTGGTGCTCCTGGATGAGCAAGCTGCACAGTTTTATGTCAGAAGCCCTATTTAGATGCTACTTTGGCCATCAACCAACAAATATCAACAAAATATTTGGATCACAGAATAGAAAGGGTAATTAGGAACAATTAAAAAGCGATGGCTAATATTTTTTCTCAGTTATATATTTCTTGATTTCACTCACCACTTGTATATATTAAGCTCTAATCTGGGTTCAAATAATTTTTAAAATATATTTTTCTTTAACTTAAATCCCGTGAAAAAACTAGAGGTAGATTTAGAACAAAAGGCTTTCTGATCTAAAGCTGCTCAACTTAGCTCCACTATTACATTCATAATTATTTGTGGGTTTCCTCCCCCATAGTTCACGGTCCTCTGGAAAACCTGCGAGTGGATACAATTTGTCCCCTTTTTAGTCAGATGTCTGTCCTCCATCCAACTCATTCCATCTATACCTGGATACCCAGAGCGCCCCGTTCTCTTGCAGTAGCTCTCAAACCCCTCCACCTCTGCCAAGTTTTATTGTCCTTAACTACTCCATGTAGAGCACTTTCTCCTCATTTTGCCTTTCCAGTCCTCTAGACATCATCATCATCTCCTCCAAGGCAGGAAGCAGAACCTCCAGGATAAAGCGGGCACTCTCATCTGCTGGTTCATTCCTTCGATTACATTACTGACCACTGAGAAGGTACTGAGTTCTTTGGAGAGGGTAATTAAAAATATTTAATAGTTACAATTTTAGCAGCTGTTTAAAACCCTTTACGGCTCTCCAGAACCTTCATCTGAGCTTCTCAGGATGGCACACTGGGCCCCTCCATCCACCATCAGGCCTTCCTTTCACATTTCCAGCCTTGGCTCTTGCCACCTCCGTCTCTCCACTCTTGTTGCATTAAACACCTTCAGTCATCCTAATAGAGCCCTGTGCTTCACACCTCTATGTCTTTGCCAGGGCAACTTGATAACCACACAGCGCACATCCACATGCCAACATCTATTATAGCAGCTACCACGCTCATGAGACTTATCTATTTATGTGTCCTAACTACCGGTCTATAACCCGAAGCAGATCTCCCTGACCAACTCCAACTTGGAACCATGTTCCATGTCTCACTCTCAAGACCCTCCCTTCCCTTCAATGACCTTCAAGGTTAAGTCCCATAATCTTGGTGACTAAGACTGAGCCACTAAGAATAACCACGACATTCGCCAGTTAAAATAACTTACCTCAACTTCTCCCTCCAACCATCTCCTGCTTTTTTTAAATTTGAAACTCCTATCACTTTAAGCACACAAACCTTTGAAACATCACCATTGACCACATGTCCTGATGCAGGCTTAGTCCCCCCTTTCCTAATGTTAAACTGTAGATTAACAGTTTAATAAAATAGTTCTCACTTTGAAACACAGAAGCTGGCTGTAAAACAGATTCTCTTACACCCCTAGTTTTCCAACCAAAAAGTATTCATTAAAGAGATCAAAAGTAATCCAAATTTGCACCAACTTAAACTATCTGGCTAACAGGAATTGTCAAGTATAGGTGTCAACTGAGACAGCTAATAAAATCAGGGGGAGAAAAGAAGGCTGACAAGGATTTAAGCAACTAGTTAGAACTGGAGATAGAAAACAGAAAGTACAAATAGACCTGGAGAAATTAACCACTGATCCTGATGTAGTGCAATAAAAATAATCCTTTCCATTGGTACAGAACACTGATTTTCAATGTGATCTCTACATAAGTTATCCGTTCCACAGGCTGGAGAGGTGACACCCCCATTTTACAGTTACAGCAGTCAAGACAACAGGACCCTAATCTTGATTATTTCTGGGCTAAAAATAAAACTTTTTAGCTGCTTGAGTTTCTTCTCTCTAAAATGTAGCTGTCTACCCTATCAGCCTCATAGATGGTTGTGAGGGAACATATGTGAAACTGCTTTGAAAAAGTACTAAGTCCCAGACAAATGCAATGTATTATCCATCAGGAGAATGACAGGCGTAGGGGTAGTGGGGTTTGAGTGTAGGAGTCGGAGCTTGTATGTAAAAAAAGTCAGAAGGATGATAATAAAAGAGAAAAATAGTTTTTTAAAAAGACAAACCTTATTCATTGTATTATTCTTTCAACTTTCTGTACATTTAATTTTTTTTCAAAGTATAAAGTTGGGGGGAAAATCAAATCTTAAATTTTGAATCCTTTATTTCGGGAGTCAGCCAACTCTGGCCCACTGGCTGTTTGTTGCTGTTATGCTGGAACACGGCATGCCCATTCGTTTACGTGCTGTCTATGGCTGCTGGGCTACAACAGTTGAGTAGTTGCGACACAGACTGTATGGCTCTCAAAGCCTTAAATATTTCCTATCTGGCCCTTTACAGAAGAAATCTGCTGACCTCTGCTTTATTTAACTATGGGGAGCTATCAGTAGTCTCTTCATATGCATGCCAATAATAATGGGTTTTCCCTTATGCTTGGTTCCCATGTTTCAAAAAGCAAAGAAATAAAGCATCCAAGGGAAGACATTTAACTTTTTATTACTTTTAAAAAATCCAACTTCAGTTAGATTAACAGACTAGATTAGAACCTCAATGAATTTGATACATTATATAGTGGATTTCTATTACTAAAAAGCCAGTTGGAATATGGCCTCCACAAACCAAGGGTGTGTACAAAACGGAAGTAATCACTGAGCACTAAGTGTCTCCTTCCAACTCTGTCACCGACTGTCCGTGCTCTGCAGGGATTTACAGATTCAAATCTGACCCAGTTGAAAAGCCCAAGCGGGACTGCTTTTCCAAGTATACTCTGTGGTCCTTCAAATAGAATTCCATGTTATTTCTTTCTTGCCTTAAGCCCTTACTTACAAGTTTATGACTTTCAAATGACCTAACCTGAGGAACCAGGGTAAACAGACCAAATGCTGCTTTATCAGTCAATTATTAGCAAGCCTAGCTCATCAGTACTTCAATGTAAGCAGCCTTCACAACAGTTTCTTTATTTTCATTTCCTAATACAGTGAAATAATTTTTACTTTTGTCTTTGAACAATTCTGCCTACAGCTCCAAGGAGAATGTCAAATCAGATGGCTTTTAGAAAATGCTCATGAGAGAACTAGTTATTATTCCTCATATAGAATTTAAATCTTACAAAATTTCTGCAGCTATGTGTTAACTTTCTGATCTACCCTACCTCGAAATCTAGTCTAGTGTATTTCTGTATACACTTCCAAACAATCTTTATAGATTTTCACTTCTCTGATCTCTTTAACTTCTTGATTGCTAAAATATAGCTTCATAACTATGGAATTTTTATGAAGATATGACACATTAATGAATACTTCTGTTTTCATACGCCACTACTCCCATTATGTGTTCTGATAAATCAACAGAATGAAGCACTAAGACACGCTAAAATCTAAACTTAAAACTCAGATGGAACTGCAGTGTATGGATTACAAATAGGTTTTTCTTTCCCAGAATTCATATACAGAAGCCCTTAGGTATGTAGCTTTTCCTGAACAAATTACATTAATACATTTTTTCTTTTTTACATTTGTAAAAATTCAGGAAATCTTAATAGGTGCAAGACATTTGGCATAAGGTGGTTAGTAAACACTTAAGAGATAAGTTTTATCAAAATGAGTACAATTAGTGGATAAACTCTAAATAAAGTGGCTTTTGAAAGAACTGGAATTTGCAGCAACCACCTTTATAAAGAGGCCCATCCACTCTCAATGAAAAACATCCAAGCATACCATTTACTAGGTTCAGATATCACCACAATATAATGAATTCTAAGAGTATGGGGCTTGATTTCTGGGCAAATTCTGTACAATCTTGGAGCGCAACATGATAAACTAAAGAATGCTTTACCATCCATCCCTCCAGCTATCACATTTCCACCTGATCCCACTCTTGTACTAGGATATATGTATAATGATGTCAATTACTAGTGTAGCTAAATTTCAGGAGAAGCATGCTTATAGATACAAGGGGAAAGTTTATCCTTAGTTTTTGATAGTGTTCAAAGCATCAGTTGATAAGTTGAGCAAATAATGTTAACAAATGAAAGATAGATATACAGCATAAATGGAGTGGAAAAAACCTCACCCTTTAATTAACTTACATAATATTCTATTTTATTACTCTACAACCGAGAGCTGGGGAGCTAAACTACTTGTGGATTACATCTTCTTCAAGACACACACACATCCAGCCTCTCTGTGAAGCCATAAACCAATACATATTTTCTAAAGGACTTTTCAAGGTGATTTATATTCATTTTAATGGAGCTCTTCAGTGTATCTGGAAATTAGAAAATTATTTTTCACTGAAGATTCCAAAGGACTTCAAGTAGAGCTCAATTAGTAAAAAGAATTGGTGTACCTGAAAGCAGCTAAACCACTCATTCTTTAGAAACTCTACATCCTACCTGCAACATACATGAGAAACAAATTTCATTTTATTAGACAAAGGCTTGCTGTCCAATTTATGCTCCATCAGAAAGACTATATATTGTTATAATTAAAAAGGTACCTTACATAAGCCACTAAATATTGACTTTTAGCTTCCTTTCTTATTAGATCTTAAAGGCAGGTGAGAAGGAAGAGAAAATGGAAGACCCAGTAGATAACATTTAATATGACATTTTGGCTTGAAGAAGAAAATTTACCTACAGCTTCTGATCAAATTTGTTTGTTCATGTCAGCCATACTTAAGTGGTAAGAAATCAAACTTTTCACTCTTTATAGTTCTTACATGCCACATCATAGGATGCAGAATCTATTAATTTATATAAACATATTTTGTAATGAAAACATCTTATATAACTATGAATGGCATGAGTTTTACATTAAGGTTTAAACACAGCTGTTTGGAGTCTTTCTAAAAATAGACAGTATTGTTTTAGGTGGTTATTTGCATAGCAAACTATTAACCTAGAAACTCAACAGTTCTAGGAAAACTTCACATTATGGACGGTTCCAGAAAGATGTATCCAAAATTAAAATCACTTCCTTAGAAAATTGTAACCTTTATTTGCTCATCCTTACCCCATCCCCACTTTACACGGTACACTAACCTGAACAGATTTGGTGCCACAAGCTCATTCAAAGGGCTTGTCATTCCCTCTGTGACTGTACTGGATAATCTAGATGTAAGCAAGTTTGGGGATTTTAAAGTGTGGGTCCATGTATTAGAAAAGCAGAGTTTATAGCATATTAAAAAAATTGTATTTCAGTAATATTGCCCTTTGAAAAGATATCTTCAAATTGCAAACACACCTATTTTCACAAAACAATTTGGTCAGGAAATTTTATTTTAACATTCTAAAGCAGTAATGCTCTAGATGTTACTTAAGTGCCCCACACAGGATTAACAAAATTAAATGTTTCTAAATTACAAATTTAGCTCCTGTAGGAGTCTCAGAAAAGAAACAAAAGAAAAGAATCCCCCCTCCCAAAAGAAGTATGACACACACATTTTGAAGAAACCCCCGAGTTTCATGCAGTGGTAGGCAAGGTGTAAAAAGCCACCCCAATTCACACATTTCTACACCAATCATCATCAGAAAAAAGTACTCCGTAGTCAATCTGTACATCCAAATGCATTTGGGAATCTACACCTACGTTACATTATTTAATGGTATATACATTTATTATCCGCCCCCCTTGTTTTTAATAATTTCTTATGTAAAACCTTCATTCAAACCCAAAAAAGATGTAAGACTAACTTGGTGGGGGGGAGAGATAATCACTTTAGACATTCAGTTAAAATGTAGTTTATCTAAATCTCAAAATGTTTAATAAAAACAAATATCTTCTCCATTTAACACTTTGCTTTCTAACTGTACAGTAAATTGCATTGTAGAGAGTACACCTCTATCTTCAGACTGTATCTTCTTTGGATGGAATTAAGATGTAACTGGATAGTTTTAAGATAAATAAATGGGAAGTTGGTCCAACTAAGATGACAGCAGATATATTACATGCAGGATTTAATATTTTTTAATTCTCTCTTTTAAAAAAAGGATGCAGTTGAATTGAAAAAAAAAAAAAAGGTCAAAAAAGAACCCAGATTCAATATATAAAAATGTCCCACAATAGGTGATGATGGCAGTAAAAATAAGAGAAAAATGTAATCTTTCTGGAACATCATTTTTCAATAACGTAGAAACACTAAGTGCCAGGAAGATTTCTATTCATGTAATTTTAGCATCCAAGTTTCCCTCTATTTATTTTATTAGAACAAATGCTTTAAATAAACTATTCGTCCTCTTCACTGAAGAGAGCTGGTCTATTTCATCTTTAATGAGCTAGTTTTTGGGAAGATTAGCCATGTACTGTAGTAATGCCTACTGCATAAAATCCAAGCATTTGCTGTGAACAGTTGGAGAAAGCAGTCAGTAAGAACCTAGGATCAATGGAAACAGATGTTACTCTAAGTCATCCACGAAAGAGAGACCCACAAAGTACCCAGTGTTAAAGCCCAAATCTCTTCTTGCGCTTTGTTTGATGTGCAAGTTCCACCCCTATGAAAGAGAAGTTGATCCGAAGTTCCAGGTTTTCTTGGGTCTCTAGTCAATTTTCACATTAGTATAGATTTTTCGGACAAAGGCACTTGTTCCCATGTAACCAATTGCTCCTGTAAAGGTAAAATAAGATGTTTTGAGACAAATACACACAGAGTGGTATCCATCACTTACAAACACTAAATACTCTCTGCTCTGGAAAGTTATTCTTTTTTTAAGATAACATCTTTATGTATTTCCTCTAAACTTATTAAAATTGTATCATTTGTTTTGCAAATCACCTCTTACTGTCATACACCAAGTTTGACCTGATATAATACTTTTAGAATTTACTATCAATGACTACATATATAATCAATAACTATATGCATTAACATATATCTCTTAAAAAGTAAGAATAAATTGATAATGACAAAAATTTGTTAAATGAAAAAATGTGTCTTTTTAAATTTGAGCATGTATTATTATTCTAGGTCATTAAACCATGAGATACTTTATGGACAAGCAGTTAAGAATCAACCGGGGATTCTCTCAGGGAAGGACTGATAACCACAGCCCAATGGCATTTGAAGCTCTAGAGAAGAGGCATTTTCTGATGCTTTCTTTTTTATGTTTAAATTGTAGAAGCTGTGTGATTGGTAGAAAAGAAGACATATTTGAGGGTATGGACAAGAGAGAGAGGAAAGTAGGTCAGGAGCTTTGAAATGTTGTTTCTGAATAATCAGCCTCAAATGGGGCTCAAAACACTGAAAAGCTGGGGTACATGTTAAATTAAGTATCTACCTCCTGTGCCTAAAAGAGTGGCTGGCACAAGATAAGGTACCCAATAAATATTTTTTGAATGAATGAATGAACTGGATAGATCTTTACTGCAAATACCAAGGGATCTTTAGAATAAGCTGGTCCTTCAAGTCATAGAAAAGATTCTCCACTACATTTAGAAATTTACCATCTAAGCCCAATATTACTGAAAGTTTAAAAGTAAATCTTCCATGAATTAATAATGATATACACACACATAAGCCCAACTGGTCACCTTTGAATTAACTTTTATTCACCCAACTGGTGTATGCAAGGAAAGAAATAAGTCTATTTTGCCCTTCCTATGTAACCAAATGGTTGATAAAAGAAAGTTTCTCCTTATAGAAGTATCTCAGCTAATAAATATCAAAGGAACAACAGAATTAAACTATTATAACCACTAATGAGGCATTTGAGCTAAGCAATAATTATCAATGACTGCTAACTCTCGCAAAGAGAGACAAGACATTAAGTGCCTCTTGATAAAACTTTACAAACCACCTGTTAAGTATTCTTGGACAAGAATTCTTGAGTATGATCAAGCTATAGATCTAACTACCACTTTACAGGAAACAGGGGGGGAACCACATGGAGAAATATCAAATGATACCTCAGGGATATAATCAGCAAAATCCAGAGTGTGGAAAACTCTACAGAAATTAAAACAAACAAAAACCCAAGTTTCTTAAATAAATTGCAAGGGAAAAGGGAGAGAATATCAATAGATTAAAAGAACCTTAAGAGACATTTTAACCAAGCAATGCATGGACCTTAATCGGATCTTGATGCAAACAAACTGTATAAAAAAAGAAATGGGGATGGGTGGCACAAATTTGAATTCTCTGAATTATTTGAGCGTATTAAGGAATTATATACATGTATACACTGAAATGTTATGTATTATAGTTATTAACTAAATATTATGTATATTTACATATATACATATATACACACACACTGAAACATTTACAGTTGAAATGACATGAGATCCGAGATTCATGTCAGAATAAAAGGGGAGTAAGGTGGGAATATAAATAAGGCAAGATTGGCCCTGAGTTGATAATTACTGATGGTAGATGTGGTAGGCACATGGGGACTCACTATATATATATATATATATGTCCCTCTTTTTGCAGATATTTTAAAATTTCCCATAATTAAATATTAAAAACCCACCAAAACAACACACCAAACCTGTTTGCAATTATTTTTGCAATGAATAGACATTTACTTTATAATACGAAATAATTATATTACACTTGAAAATAGTGACAATTCACTTTGAAACAGTTTATAACACAAGTCCTTACAAGGTAAGAAAAAAGAAAAACATCACTCAATTTTGTCAAAATAAGCCTGAATTCTTAGAACATAAAATATCTATAAAATTTTAACTAGAATCAAAAATTTAACTGGCATAATATAACACTAGCCCAATAACCAAATCCAATTTTCCAGACCTACAAAACATTGTTCCCCTTTGAGCAGAGATATGCTTAGAATCAAACAGTATTTCCTAATCTTGTGAGTACCTCAAGAATAAGCTTATAAAAATATGGCTTTATAAAAGGAGGATACTGAATATGCTCTCCAGGAAAATAAATGTCTTGGGAATGCGCTATGCCTAAAATATAAAAGACTGTAATAATCTCATTATTTTCCACCTTAAAACAGTCATTTCTTTTTTCTACCTTAAAAAAAAAAAATCAACATTTTTCTTTCAATTACTGACTAAAAAGCATTTTAGCAACATAACCTGATGAGTATGTATAATTTTTGTATTATGATATTTTAATCACTTCCAATCTGAACTGTTTCCCCTCCCCCCCAAAAAACAGGTTAGCACTGAAGGTATATAAAGCCATTAAAGAATAAATGCTGGGACACTGCCAGAACAGTAGGGAACTGGAAAGGTGCCAAGATTATCAGGCAGCAAGATGAAATTTCAACAAGAAAAGAACTCAAAAAATTTAGCTAAATTCATTCCATTTTCTTTGTAAATGTCAAGATATTACCTCAAAGTCTTCCTAAGATCACAAATAAAAAGAGTGAAGAAAAAAACAACCCTCTGCATAATCCCATGATTCTATCCCCCATTGTATGCTGGTGATAATCAAGAAAGATCTCCGATTAAACAAAGAGGAGGTCAGTGAGCAGCATTCTGAAGGAAGGATGGCCAGTAATGCTCAAGGAACCTTCCGAGTGCCTGGGGATACACAGGATGTTCCCACGGGACGAACATCTAGTTTCAACATCCAGTTCTTAGTCATCTTTCCCTCAAAGTTGGTTAACTAATTAATTATCACAGGAAGAGGTTAACATGGAAGCTATAACTAAAACGTGACTATAATATAGAGAACTGTCTTCCCTCACAGCTTGTGGAATTCGTTTTATTCCCTTACAGTCAACGTCATTTGTGTGTGTGTGCACCTGATCACATATATGGTATATATGAACACACAGATTCTTTTAATTTACATAAAACATTGTATTAGCTGAAGGTGCACAACATAATGATTTGACATATGTATGTATTGCGAAATGATTACCACAAAAAATTTAGTTAACATCCAACACCTTACAGAGTTACAATTTTTTTCTTGTGAAGAACTTTTAAGATCTACTCTCTCAGCAACTTCAAATATACAATACAGGATTGTTAACTCTAGTCACCATGCCGTACATCACATCCCCAGAACTCAGTCATCTTGGAACTGGAAGTCTGTGCCTTTTGACCACCTTCACCCATTTCACCCACTCTCCCAACCCCACGCCTCTGACAACCACCAATCCGCAGAACAGATTCTTTTGACGGAGGACAAAGCAATACCAGTACCTCAAAGAGGTCCACAAATGTCATACCAGGACCCAGCTTTTAACAAGATTATCATATCTTACTTATTCTACAGCCTATCCTGTAGATAAAGGTAGAACTATCCAAAAAAAAGTCAATGGTAAGTAACAGAGAAAGGAGAAGGGTCTGACTCATACACTACTGGAAATGTTTCCACAGTGTTTAGTACTTAAGCCTTACATCAGCCCTGTGAAGTAACTAGGGAATTACCTCATTTATCAAGTAAAACCTGAAACACAAAAAAAGTGAGTTACTTGTACCTGTTTCTCTCAAGGCACCTCTGCCTGGACTCAGTGTCTTGAAATTGCTCTGAGGTGAGAACATAAGGTGTGGAAACCCAAAGAAACAACAGAAACAGAGAGACAATCCCGGAACAGAAGGAAGCCCAAAGACTTTCAGCCCTCAGCAATACAATAACAGCAGCAGCCACCACGCACTGAGCATCTGCCATCCACCTGACGTTTACCCACATTCAATCTCTGAATCCTCCTTACAACCCTCTAAGGTAGGTATTACTTCTGTTTTGCAAATGAGAATGTTGAGAAGTAAAGGTTAAATAATTTGGCCAGAGTAACATGGCTATTAAGTAGGGGCACCAGGATTCATACCAGGACTGACTGACCCCAAAAGTCCTAGCTCTTCCCATTCCCTGCCTTGTCTCCCATGTAATTGGCTCTCTCTTACCACCTAATAAGAGACCTGCAATACACTTGGTGCTTTACACACACGACGCTACTACAAATAACTACTCTGAAAGATATACCCATTCTACAGAGGAGAACAGGAGGTTTAGAGAGGTTAACATGCCTTCCCATAGTCACAAACAAGGGGAGCAGCAGCACAGAGACTTCACCCAGGTCTCTCAGGCTCTCAAGTCCATGCCCTTTCCATTTACCATGCTATTTCCAAAAGTTCTTTATTTTCTAGCTATTTCACACATGCTAGAGACTCTATCATATGGTGATACCATTTATCTCTGCCATTGAATGCAAGATTGTGATAAACTCATGAAACGGGGGTATTAATCCTCATTTTACAGGGGTTTGGAGAGCTTGGGAACTAGGTCAAGGTACAGAACACACATGCGGCAGAGGGAAGACTTAAGCCCAGTCTGCAGACACTCCACTGTGTACTCATAACCAGTAAACTGTGCTGCCTGCGGGACACTGTACCTCCATGAACAGCCAGAGAAACTTCCAACAGAAATGATTCACCCAAAACCTTACTTTGTCTACATCACAATCTTTTCCAATGAACCTAAGCTAAAAAATGCCAATTCCCAACATGAATGAGAAACTGTGGTATGGAAAATAGTGCTATACACAAGCATTAGGAACAGAAAACTAAAAACGAAATCAATCAGGTGCTAAGTTAGGATTTGAGGAATAGTCAAAAGGACTGAAATCAGACTCCTGACTTTATTTTGGCATTCCTTATCAAACAACAGAATGTAATTTCTTAAGTTCCAATTACTATATTTTTCTGACTTTGAATCACTCAAAGATTTACTCACGAAATCCAAGAATTTCAGAACTTACCACACATTATCCCCAAGGCTGTGCTAAATACCGCCATATATCCAAAGTAAAATGATGTCTGAAATAAGCCATACATCCTGAAATAAAAAAATTATATATAATATATCCATTTTTACTTTCAACATAATGCCTTAAATTCTGGTATTTAAATGGCAAATTTAGTTTCTTAAATACAAAATGAGAAAATGTCTCCACTTACTTTGTTTTGAAAAAATAGTAGTAAAAGGAATACATGTAAACATAGATTGCAGTTGATGCAGCAGAGAGAAAACTTGTCCATTGCCTGAAAAAAAAAAAAAACCTCTTGAATGAATGGCACTGAAACAAAGATTTTAAAGCAAAGAACTTTATAAAATCATCCTTTGAAATTCTGTATACTTAAAAACAAATGCATATGTATGTCATTTAAATATATCAACAGGGAGAGAGCTTAAGAACTGGAAGGAGAGATCCTGAATTTTGTCAAATTCCCTGTTCTAAGTAACCTTAGTTAAACCATTTCCGTTTTGAGATCTGTCTCTTCGTGTTTAAAATGGAGCAACGCTTCCTCATAAAGCTCCTTCCACATCAAGCACTTTGTAAAAATATTTCTAACATAGTAACCCTCATTAACACAAAATTTTTGTGTGTGACTGATATTATTTTTCCTTGAAAATCTTCATCATTTTGTAACTGAAAAAAACTCCCTCTACTATCCTAAGTACCAAAATTTCTATACAGATCTTTTATTCTACTTTGTACACTTCAAATGGAATCTTAATTTAAAATATTGTGATCCCCAGAGGTTCTTCCCAGAAATAAGGACTTACCACCTATAATCCTCTGCATTTAGTAGAAAGTATGTGCACACGATGGTCACACAGACAGTCACGATGCACAGGATGACCAGCACCAGCATCATGAAGCCATAGACGTAATAGATCTTATATGCCCAGAAAGAGGTGAAGATGAAATACCTAAATAAAATGAAATAAAGACAGAGTTTTCTAGTCTTTATTCTTGAAGCTCACCCTGCTCTTGCTAAATCTCACATACATCTTAGTTCTCAATTTTTCTCACTAAAATCTCAGTATTTTTCTTTCAAGTAACTTCCAACAGTTTCCCTTACCCTTTTTCATCTATTAAATCCTCTGAAATCTTCTCAAAAATATTTCCTTGGATAGTCTTTCAAGAACAGATTCATTACTAGGGCATTCATCTCTAAGCAAACTGAATAAATTAAAAGCTTAAAAGAGTAAAATGTGGAAAAGAAAAATGATAATAGATAAAAGTTCATATTTATAAAACAAAGTTTTCCTTCATTCTTTCATTTTTTCTAGATATAACACTATTTAAGCAAAGTATTCTATATTTTATAAAACATCCCATTAAATAAAAAATAGGTTTGATAGAGTACTAATGTATAACATTAGGAAACTAAAAACAATTAGGAAAATAAAGCCTAAAAAAGCTTCATGTTATTTTCAGAGGCAGTAAGAGAAAGGGCATTAATATTTTACACTGAGAAAAAGACCCTACACTCTAATTCCATTACCCAAGTCATCATTAAATTAGAAAACAGTCTTTAAGCCTCTTTTCTTTTTCTTTTCTGTTTGTTAGTTCACTTATTCATCACTCGTTCTTTCAAAAGATATTTACTGAGGCCCTCCCACATATCAGAGAAGCAGTAATACGAGAACTGTGAAGATGGCAGTCTCTGCCTCAAGGAGATTACTGTTCAGTGGGGAATATCAGTGAAGGGGTGATCATGACGCACTGTGACATGCGCTTCACCAATGTACCTAAGAGGGTCATCTTACATGTTTGGCTGGGTGGGCCATTGTGGGGGAGGGGTAGTGGGAAGAATCAGATAAGGCACATCAGGGGTGGGGGGCGCCAGAAGAATGTTCCAGGCACAGAACAGCAAAGACAAAGGCTCACAACTAAGGGAATTCACCGTATTTAGAAAAACTCAAAGTAATTCAGTAGGGCTAGAATTTCAAATGAAGGTGCGAGAACTAAGAGATGAGGTTGGAGAAGCAAGGAGGGCCAGATCCTCTATTATGAAGGTCTTAACGGCTATGTTATGGGGTTTGGACCTTACCTCAATGAAAATGAGAAGTCTTTAGCAAGGAAGTGACATGATCAGACTGATACTTTTAAAATATCACAGTGGCTACCAAGAGGAGAATAGGTTGGAGGGTGGTCAAAACAGAGAAGTTAAAGATACAGCAGAGAGGCTGTCTAATGGAACAGAGTACCTGAGAAAGCAGGAAGAGATGCGATCCAGAAGGTATTGGGGACAGGAGTAGGAGGCAAAAAAAAAAATAGTTGGAGGTCAAGTCAGGGTGAGAATACAAAGCACTATCAGATTGGAAGCACAGAAGTTCCTGAACTGGCTTTATTAAACCACAAGCTAGAGCAGCACACACTCCAACCCCTCTAAGGTACTGACTAATGCCCACAGCACACTCGCAGCTGGTAGCTGACCACCAGGAATGGCCCACATCTATTTCAGTTGTACTTGTTAAAGTGTAATCAGACAACTTAAACGTTACGTAAACCAATAAACATGAGAGCAAAAAGGATGTGTGATTTCTATGAAAATTATGTCGTATACTTTGGAAAAATTCACTAAGGTGAGTCACTAAGAAAAGTTATAAAATTAGGTGTGGGTGAGACAGCTATAAAAGGTTGGGGGACAAATGTACAAATCTAGAAGGATTCTGTACTTAGAATGCCTCAGACAGGTCTTTATGTCTTTCTCCACTTTAAAAAGGCTAGAAAACACAAGATGCATTATGAACGTCAAAGAAAAAATGATGGAAACATCAACTAGATACAAATCAAAGACCTTGGCTCTATATTTAAAAAAACAGTGAAAGATGTACCTTTATTTAATTTAAAATAGAATATTATGTATGTATCTTTTTTTATAATTCCCTTACATGAGTCAACTTTTCCAATTAACCAAGTGTCAGATCTAATCATGTCTGTTAAGGAGGTGTCCACTGCACAGGAGAGAATCAGCAGTGGGGCATCCGGAAACGTGTAAGGGCATTTTGAGTGGTCACCGTGACTGGCATTTCATGGGCAGGAGCCAGAGGTGTATGACCGCAGTTCTTAAGAAGGTCCCAAAGAACTGCCTTGCCTAAAATGGCAGAGCATTCCCATCAAGGGACATTGGAACAGGCTGAGAAAAGGAAGGCTTATATTTTGCAGTGATGACTGCAGATATGAAGCATGGTTACTGGGCACAAGATGGCATATTTCCCACAACCAAACATATACATACTTTCCAGTAGGTCTCAGTGAGAGAAGACTAGGAATGACTATGCATCCAAGAATGTCAGGATCTAGACTGACTGATAGGTAATGGTTTACCTAGTTCCCTGGACTCTGAGAAATATTTTAAAAATACAGTAAAAACCAGTAACTCCTTACAGCCTGTAGGTGATTAAAGGCTGGTCTAGCATTCTCTAGCACACATGCTTTGATTTCTAAGATCTCCTGCGAGGTGAGAGGTCTAGAACATGATACAAAAAGGCATAAACTTCACCTGAATATCTGAGAACAGAGTAGAAAGCTACCTTTAGATAGACTACATAGACCCCTTTCTGGAAGCAATGGAATTAACAGACCAACTCAGTTAGATGTATTCCCATCTGATGATTCTAGACCTATCCTAACTCCTAAATTCTCTAATTACAACTAAGTCCATCAAAACACAAATACATTGCCAAAACTTACATTTCAATAAAGATTGAGCCAAAAGGTAAAATTCCTCCCAGGCAAACAATAACTGCAGGCTCCATGAACCTGGAAAATATTGAAATTAACAGTAAACTTTTAGTATGATTTTCATATTATATTACATAAATCCTGATACTAGAAAGCAGATGCTTTCTACTTAAAATAATCTAAAGGATAGAAACAAACCAGTAAAAGGAGAAACAAAAATTCAAAGAGGCACAATACAGAGGTGGAACTTCAAATTAGCCACAGGATATGGTCAAAATTCCTTCCGTCATTAAAGGCTGAGATAAGAATTTGGAGAACACAAATTCTTGCCAGTGGCAGAGCTCAAGAAAGACTCAAAGTGTCTGCTCCTGCTTTATAGCTCTCAATAACTTCTAAAAACTTTACAGGCATTTACTTACAGAAAGCCATATGGAAAGAAAATAAATGTCTTGAGATCCCTATCTGAAATAATGTTTCCCAAATTGTGGGCTTGCCACTTCTTTGCTCATGCTTTCTTTGGTTATTTCTTTTCCTATGAATTATACAGTTAAGGTACTATGAGTTCTGAGTTATTATGGAGCGAAAGGATGAGTAAAAAATAAAATTCAAACCTCATTTATGAACGCAACAAACATTTACGGATTGCAACTGGTAATTCTCCACCTGGAATGCCTTCTCCGGTCTAACCCTCCTCCTGCAAGCTCAAGGCTCAAGTGTTCTCCCTGTAAAGCTTTCCCCAAGTCTCCGGGAAGAGGTGGGTCCTCCCTCCGTTCTCCCAGTGCCTCTTGAATATAACTGCATGGCAGCACCTACCCCACTAGACTGCACTGGCTAATTACATACATATCATATCTTACTAGATTATAAACCCCGGCAGGCAGAAGCTATTCATCTAGTTATTCCCAGTGCCCAGCACAGGATCTGGCACATAAAGGATATTAGACTACTATCTCTGGAAAGAACAAACTAAAAAACTGAGAAGATAATCAAAGAGTTTGAGAGCTGGAAAAAAACCCATAAAAATCATTTAATCTAGTCTTCCCTCCTTTTACGGGAAGCCAAGACTGACAGAGGTTAAAAATGATCTGCCCAAGGTGACACAGTCAGTGAGAGCGAGATCTAGCATTCAGATTTTGGTTCCCATGTAACTATATAAAGAAAATGAAGACACACACCAGCCTTCCTACATCGAAAAGCGACCCATGCTTAGCAAAGTCACATGCTGTTCCTTCCTCTCCTTCACTAGCCCTAGTGACCTAGAGGAACTTCTGTGATTTCTGATATGCTTGTCCTTTAACCTTATCCTCCCCAGTAACGAGTGAAAGAACATCAGGATATCAATGGGCCTTAACTGTCTAATCTTGATTTGAAAAAGATAATTGACTTTAAAAACTAGACTACCAAAGTGCTCACGAGCACCAATTTAAGAAAGAAAGAACATGGACAATTCCTGAGGCTAGCACAGATCACTCTCGTTTAAACTACAGGGGCTATTTTATTTAGCCCCATTTCTGTAAGTGTCTCCATACCTCCAAGTCTACAAAAAACTGTTTGTATAAGTACCTGAACATAAGTTATATTTATAATGTGGTAAAATATCTAGGAACAGAGGCTTTTCAATATATATCCCTTATTACGAATACAGAGAGACTACTGTACAGTTATTCTAATGAGATGGGGAATGTAATAAATGTACAGTAAGAGCGTTCTATTTTTGTCTGCTAGTAAGAATAAGGAAAGGGGCCGTCCCCGTGGGGTAGTGGTTAAGGTTGGCCCACTCTGCTTCAGCAGCCTAGGTTCGTGAGTTTGGATCCCAGGCACGGACCTACACCACTTGTCAGCCATGTAGTGGTGGCAACCCACATATAAAGTAGAGGAAGAGTGGCAGATGTTAGCTCAGGGCTAATCTTCCTCAGCAAAAAAAAAAAAAAAAAAAAAAGAATAAGGAAAATAAAGAATGCAGAATAGCATAAATCAGCACTAACATATTCAATTTACTAATTTTAAAAGGCAAAATATACAGACAAGTTCACATTTTGCTCAAATTTGAATTACAAAAATTAGAAATATAAACATACTAATGACATCTCATTTTATGCCCAAAATTTGAAAAAAACAACATCTCAAATTAAAAATCCACCAAGAATCATAATTTTAAAGCTGACTGGTCAAATGAACTGTAAACTACGTTTACACTATTGCAGTAGAAGACTCTCTTCGGCTGTTAAACAGAAATACTTGTCATCCTTTGTCAGGATTAATCTTGAATTATGGGACGTCCTTGAGAAAACATTTTGTGCATAAAATGTGACAGACTGCATTTGAGAGATTCTATACTCTCCCAGAAGTGAAGACAAAGAACATAAGACAGTAAATTATAATTGGTCTCAATTCTAATTCATCTCTCAATTGGTATGATATACATATGGTATCAACCTGTGTGAGTATTGTTTAGAACAATAAAATATCTGGAAAGGAAAAGGAAATGATAAGCCAGGGGTTGGCAAACCTTTTCTGTAAATGTTCAGAGAGCAAACATTTCAGGTTTTGCAGGTGGGATGGTCTCTGTCATAACTACTCAACTCTGACGCTACAGTGTCAAGGTAACCATAGACAATGTATGTGAACAAACAGGCATGGCTATATTCCTACGAAACTTTATTTCCAAAATCAGGCAGCAGGTCAAATCTGGCCAGTAGGCTGCAGTAACAAACTGCTGCAACTTCAGTTCCCACCATCGCTACGCACTAAGTGTAGTTATTAAAGCATCTGATTTATCTGTAAATGGCGCCAATAGCCAGAAAGTGAAATAAGGATGTAATTTGTCACTGCTCCTAACAACACAGGTTGAAGGGAAAAAGTAAAAAGACAATTCTTAAATTTAAACTTAACATAGTCATTCTTATAAATACATGCGAAATCTAAAAGTTATACATACATAATAGCCTTAAGAACTTATATATTGTGAGAAACAATCACATAAGATTTAGCATTCTCTTTACCATTTTTTCTCCGGTATGGGACGAGGCACAGCATTGACACGACAAGGAAAGTTGGGCTGACCTGACAGATTTCGGCCAAGTATCGTACCAACTAAATTTAGAGGAAGAATGACAAAAAAACAGATGCAACAAACGGCCACCTGTAAATTAAATTAAAACATGTGTGAGTACTCAGAGAACAATAACATTAATAAAAACAAATAAGAGGGGCAAAAAAATTTAAACACAATTTGATCACAAAAGAAAACGTTTAAGTTCAATATGGGTTAAAATAGTGTAAGATATATACTAATGAAAGCAGGAAAAGAATGCGCTTTAAAATATTAGAATTCAACTCAATACAAGCTGAACTGCTTCCTTTCCGTAGGTCCCCATTTTTCCTACTCTTTCCCACTGTCTCTGCCATAATCCTTTTTTCTCCTCTTTCACTTTCAGCTGTCACACTTTTAACATAACCTTCATCTTTTGTCATTATAACAAACTTATTTTACCTGACTACACTTTATTGAGCTCTAATATGCACAAGGGGCTTTACCCATGTTATTTCGCTATTTTACAGAGGAAGGAAATGAGACTTAGAGGGGCTAAGTAACTTCCCATGATCACAGAGCTAGTAGGTGGCTGGATTAAAATTTCAATTCAGATCTGCCTGTCTCAAAAACCATGCTTGTTTCTATTCCACACTGTCTTAGAATCTTAACAACAGAGGTATATCTCGATTTACGTATATAAGTGTCATTACTAATAATATGAATATTTTTCTGCCAATTAGTAGTTTAAAGGCTTAAGTTATAGAGAAGACCATACAGAGATTCTAGAACCAAAGTGGTCAGTTAGGAAAATATTTATTTTTGTGGGTTTTTTTTTCTTATATAAATCTGGGTACTCAAGGACACATTCTCAAGCTCTTTTCCAGCCAGCATCCAGTTCAGATCACTTCACTCTGAACTCCTATAAAATGGAGTAGGAAGGAATCACCTGTAAGATCTCTTTCAACTACACATTTCGGGGTTCTAACAAATAGAAAGTAAAAGTGAGAGAAAAGTTGAATGAAAATTGTAAAGAAATTGATTAAGAAAAATGAAGAGGTGTAGGGTAGCAATTCACAATGATTACATGAGAAGGAAAGAACCTATTTTGAAGCAACGTTAGCCAAAACTACATTTTCGTTAGATCCTTTTGTGAATGTGCGTGTGTGTGTTTTTAAACAAGCCAAGGGGTATCATCATCTTCCTTTCAGGAAAAACTTGCATAAATGTAAGAGACTTAAGAGTTCTAGAATTCCATTTTAAAGATCAGATTTAGAAACTCAAATTATTGGTGCCTCAGTTTCGAACTATTAATAACATGAATTTATGTTCATATAGTATAACAAGAGTATGTGAAACATGAAAAATAAGCAGGTGCTAAGATACTTTAAACATTAAATTATATTGTGAATTACATATATATGTCTCATACATATCTGGAGGGGTGAATTCTGTCTCAATTTTTGCTACTTATTGCTTTCTTAATTATTTATAATTATTATATATAATTATTTTAATTATTAATTTAAGAATCTTAATTACAAGACTCATAAATGTTAACACATTGTAATAGAGACCCATGTATTTTCCTTTTAATCCACCAGAACTCTTATTTCAAGTAACAAGTGAAGAGAAGCTGAAGAGAACACTCCTATGTGGGATGACACAGTCTAGCAGAGTGTTTGCAAACTGTTCCATGGAACCCTCAGGCCCCGCTGAATAGCTTCAGGAATTCCAGATGTGTTTGATTTGAAGAACCTTTGGATAATAGTTTTTTTAAAAAATATTTTTAAATATAATAAAAAACATACAGACTCAAATGAGTTCTATACCAAAGATTACTACAATGGAGAGACCACAGGCAGGGTAACTCATTTGCATGCAGCCCTCTATCTCTCCCCTATCTCTGTGTACACACTTGGACTTGTAAACTGGTCATTGATTAGGAAGGTTTACAATGCTACGCTGGTCTTTTGTTCTCCTTCCCCTCTGCCTGACCAACTCAGGCCTGCACATATTTGCTCACTAAAAGTTGTACAAGCAAATGCACCAAGCACATGTGTGTCACAGGCAATTAAGTGGCAGGTGAAGTGAGGGTGTCTCTTGCCTTGTGTGCTCATTCAAAGCAGAACCGTCAAAAAAGGAACCTATAAACAATCTCATCAAGACATTACCAACTGGTTAGCATTTGTTTAATTTTCCCCCTTTTCTTGTCTAACTTTTTTATACATGATAAAAAATGTGAGCAGTTTGTTAGAAACTGTTACTGACTGACTGAACAGTGAAACCAATTTCCTACTCCTTTATGTTCAAGTTCTGGATGAGCTTTCTTGAAGAATACTCTGAGATAGAAAGGCAAGCTGTTAAAAAAAAAAGTCACATGGAACTAATCATCCATGAAGTCTGGATTTTTCTCAATACTGATATTCAACCAAATAAACTGGTTTCTGAAGAAGATATGACTGAACTGTTATTCACACCCCTTGATATCAGATATGTATTCATTACAACTTTATTGCTCTCATTAAATTTAGGAAGTTAAAATACTGAATTTGCAAAATTTATTTATACTAATAGAATCATGCTTATATCTGTTTTCTATATTGGGCTTCCACATTAAGGTTTCATTTTAAAATGAAATTCAGCAGTCAGGAGTTAAAAAACCATTACCCTAATACACTGGTGAAAACTATGGAACCCAAACCAATATAGAGCCCTCCCTTAGGCTCCTAGCAGCTGTTCATGCATCAGTGGTGAGTGAAAACAGGCAATGGGGAGAGGAAAGACCGACTCCAGCTTGAAGGCCTTACCCATCCACAATAAGAACAAGCCAGAAACAGGTCTGTCTATCAGTACTTAAGACCCCAAAGATGTACCAGCTGCTCAAGTCTTCTCAATCTCAGTCACACATCAAGAATGTGGCTATTACTTATTCTATCATTGCTTCCAGGCTTTGAGGAAATCTTTAGGCCTTTCAGGAAATCTGTGGTATGAATGGAATGGAAAGGGAAAATGCAGCCTAAGATGGGCTACTTTGGAATGCTAACAGTTATCAATTGCATTTAGGGTGAAAGAAAGGAATTGCTCCTAAGTAAGGTGATACTCAGGAAATACATTGTCTTGTCAGCCATTGTGTTGATGCATTTCTTCAACACTTGCTCAGAGTAGATGATTTTTATCACTCCTTTTCTACTTCACACATTTTATGCCTTTATGTCTATATAAGAATTATTTAGCTTCAATTTTAGCATTTCGAAAATAGGACCTAATAATCGGGGCACTGCCAACTCAAACACAAATGCTTGTAAAAAGCCCATCTATTTTATCAAATATTTTCAATATGCTAATAAATAACTCCCCATTCTGTTGCCTGGGCCACTTCAGTACTATAATAGAAGAAATGCTGGATTTGAAGTTAAAAATTTATTCTATGAAGCTAGCATTATCCTCATAACAAAATCAGAAAAAAAGACATTATAAGAAAACTACAAACCAATCTCTCTCATAACATAGATGCAAAAACAACAAATTCTGGCAAACTGAATCGAGCAATATATAAAATGGGTAACACATCATAACAAATTGAGATTTATCAAAGGAATGCAAGATTGGTTTAAGATTCAAAAATCAACCAATACAATTGACCATATTATGAGACTAAAAAAAGAAAAATAATAAATCATCTCAAAAGATGCAGAATAAGCCACTGCAAGATCCAACCTCCATTCGTAATAAAAAACTCTCAGCGAACTAGGAACAGAAAGGAACTTCATTAACGTGACAAAGGACAACTACAAAAAAACTATAGGTAACACTGTACTTGACAGCACAAGACTGAATACTTTTCCCCTAAGATTGGGACTAAGACAAGGAAGCCTGTTCTCACTGCTTCTATTCAACATTGTACTGGAGTTTCTAGCCAGTGTAATAAGGCAAGAAAAAGAAATATCAATTAGAAAAGTAGAAGTAAAAGTGTCTTTCTTTACAGACAACATAATAATTTATAAAAAAATCTTTAGGAATCTACAAAAAAGAAATCAGAACTAATAAATGAGTTTAGCAAGGTTGCAGGATGCAAAGCCAATATACCAAAATGAATTGTTTTTCTATACACCAGTAACAAACAATCAGAATTTGAAATTATAAAAAATACCATTTAAAATAGCATAAAAATTATGAAATACTTAGGGGTAAATTCAACAAAAAGATGTACAAAACCTAAACACTAAAATCCATAAAACTGCAGAGAAAAATTAAAGATAACTAAATAAGTTGAGGGATATACTGTGTTCACTAATCAAAACACTCAATACTGTTAAGATGTCAATTCTTCCCAAATTTGATCTATAGAGTCAACGCAATCCCAATCAAAATCTCAGCAAGTTTTTTGTAGAAATTGACAAGCTGATTCTAAACTTTATATGGAAATGCAAAGAGCTTAAAAAAGCCAAAACAACTTTAAAAAAGAAGTGATTCCAAGACTTACCATAAAGCTACAGTAATCAAGACAATGTGATATTAACATAAAAACAAGGCAAATGAATCAACAAAACAGAACAGAAAGTCCAGAAATAGATCCACATATATATGGTCAATTGATGATCAATAAAATTGCTACGGCAATTCAGTGGAGAAAGAATAATCTTTTCAACAAATAGTGCTGGAACAAGTGAACAAGGCATTAACAAAACAAAACAAAACAAAATCCCCTGTTCCTTAACTCATATAATATACAAAATTAACCAAAGATGGACCATAGAACTTATATTTAAGAGCTAAAACTACATAATTTCTAGAAGAAAACATACGAGGAAAGCTTACTGATCTTTGGCAAAAGATTTTTAAATAAGACAGAAAAGCACAAACTGTAAAAGAAAAAAATCAATAAATTGGACTTCAAAATTAGTAACTTTTGCTCTTCAAAAGATACTCTTAGGGGCCGGCCCCGTGGCCGAGTGGTTGGGTTCGCACGCTCCACTGCAGCGGCCCAGGGTTTCGCCAGTTCAGATCCTGAGCACAGACATGGCACCACTCAACAAGCCATGCTGAGGCGGAGTCCCACATGCCAAAACTAGAAGGACCCACAACTAAAAATATGCAACTATGTACCT